GGGACAGGACAAGGGGAAATGGCCTCCAGTTGTGCCAGGGGAGGTTTGGATTGGATATGAGGGAAAATTCCTTCCTGGAAAGGGTTGCCAGGCATCAGAAGGAGCTGCCCAGGGTGGTGGAGCAGTTTCCATCCCTGGATGTGATAAAACCCCACGTGGATGTGGCACATGAGGACACTGGGCTGGTGCAGTGACCAGTGCTGGGCTAGACGATCTTCCAGGTCTTGTCCAACCTTGTCACTTCTATGGCACAAAACTGGAGCACAAAACAAACTCCCCTCGTCCTTTTGTGCTCAGCCACACCCACCTTGTAACTTCCAGCTCTGATTCCATCGGGGACTTCATCCTGAAAGGCAAAACAAGGCAAGTGCCACCTGTGGGGCTGCTGGGACCCCTCAGCCCCATCTCTGGGAAAGGTCTGGGGTGTCACCACAGCTGCCAGAGGTGACAAGGTGACAACAGCACTCAGCCCAGCTTGCAGCACATCCAACCCCTCACTCCTCCCCACACCAAGGAGAAGAAACGTTCCTAGTGGTTTATTTTGATTTTTTTTTTTAATTTACTGCAAGATTCCTTTTCTCCAAAGGTCTGAAGCCTTCCTCAGGTGCTACATCAGGTTGTGCTTTGCTTATCCCAGCAGGAATTTGGGAAAGCCAGGCAGGAACCCAGGTGCCTCCTCAGATTTTTCATCTACCAGCCCCTGACACATGATATCCCAAACTTCCCTCTGACCATTCCATCATGGAATGTCAGCCCCACACAAGCAGCCCGAAAATTCTCCTCAATTTCCATTTTCTCCAGGAGTAGGAAGGCAATAGAACCATTTCTACAGGAGCAAATAGTGTGATGGTAAAAAGAAAAATTAAGCAATAAGAGTTATTTTTATTATTATTTTAATTAAGAACAGCAGGGGCAGTCAGTTCTTAAAATAAGAACAACTTTTAGCTAAAACTTAGGTAATTGTAACAGAACTCCATCACATTACTCATAATCACTACCAAAAATAGATTTTTTTTAAAGAAGAAAAAGTTATTTAAACAACATTTAGGGTTATTTTGAGGTGTAAAAAAAAAAAAAACAACTTCATCATTCCATTTTAGAACCCAAGAGTGAGGGAGTAAGACAGTCTGTGCTGGCTGTCAACACCAAAACATGAAATGTCCCCAGAGGGGCCACCAAGCTGTGACTCCCTCACCCCGTCAGGGTGTTTTCTTACAGCTGAGGGAACAAAACCCTTTTGTCCAGGATACAGGGACAGGAGTGCCCTTGGAAATGGAAATGGGATGCTCAAAGAGCCATTTCTCCTGCAACAGGGCTGGAAAGCTCCGAGACAAATTCATCAGCCAAAATTAAATCACAGTGCAGCTCATGGGCAACAAATTCTGTCAATTAACATAAAAACTATAATGGATTTGCCCTAAAAACTAGTTACTAATGGAAAAATAAGGACCAGGAGAAGTTTTTGGCTGTTTGCAGAGGGTCAGCTGTTAAAAGCCCAGCTTGCCTTGAAACTTTAATTAGTAATATTACAGAATTCAGGATTTTGGCCTTTCTTAGGGCCAGCAGTGTTGCTGCACCCATGAAAGATCCACCAGAGCCCCAGTTTTGCTGTAACTAAAATAACAAAGTTCAGTCACTTGTTTGCTGTTTCCTCTTGGTCTGCAAAAGTTAAATAAATAAAAAAAAAAAAAGGTAAAAGAATGGATTTGGTACTTACAGAGGGGCAGGGCTGCACAGCACAGTCTCTCATCCCACAGTGACTGTTGTCCTCCCAAAAGGGACAAGGTTTCTGGAGGTTTACCTGCAAACAACACATCACCCTGTTCAATAACTCATCTCCCCCATGCAGCCAAGACAGCCTTCCCGCTTTCCCAAGAGAAATCCAAGTTCTGCACTTGTTTGTTCCAACCAGCAACTCCTTGGTGACCCAGAATCCACCCCATGGAATCCAATCCATGGAATCTCTGGCAGCAACAGCCATCCATGAACCTGAGGGTCTGGAACCGATGCAGGTTTTCCATGGGCAATTCTCTCATTATGGATCATAAATTAAAATTGCTCATCAGCATCTTTAAATCACAGTTCACCAAAGGAACTCCTCTCACTAAGGTGTTGCTTAATGGGGAAAAATGGGTAAGAAAATATCTTTGAAATCCTCTTAAAAGTACATTGCATCTTATTGAGATTCTCCTCGTAACAGAAGGCTCCAACTGCATCCTTTAAAGGGTTAAAATGCAGATGTCTGTTCTAAAAAGATCAGCAATAATTCATAGGAAATTTTAAAAAAGACAGCAGCACACAAATAAATACAAATTTTACAAGGAAAAATGACCTTGTAGTATCTAAAATAGTCACTTTGCAGGAGTTCATTCAGTCTAGGGAAAAGTTTGTAGTTGTTGAAGGCATCGATGGTTTCTACATCACAGGTGCAGTCATCTAAATAACCAGTAACCTGGGGGAGAAAAAAACAATAAAATCACAATCAAAAACATCAAAAAAAAAAAGAAATCAAATATAACAACTAAATATAAATAACTAAATATATAACAAATATAAACAACTCAGGCAGGGTTTTCTAACACTGCAGAGAATAAAACAATTCATCATTTTCTTTCCTTTTCCCAGCAAGCCAAGTTTAAGCAGAAGGGACATGGCTGCAGTGAGCACAGGCTGCCAGCTCAGGGCCCTCCTGGGGGAGCCTCAGGAACCANTATTATATTATATTATATTATATTATATTATATTATATTATATTATATTATATTATATTATATTATATTATATTATATTATATTATATTATATTTAACAATAACTACTATAATTTATACTAATACTAATGCAGGATGGTGATCCCACCACTCCCCTGAAAATCCCCTTCCAATGCCTGACAACCCCTCCAGTGAAGAGATTTTGCCTGAAAATTCTTCAAGGGAGGCAGGATTGTAACTCAGTTCCAACCCCACCAAACACAAAATTCCTGCAGTTTTTTTTTTCAGGTAATTCCTGAAACTTCCTAACAAACAGGGACACCTGAGGAGAATTCCTGATGATATGGAAAAACCAGAATGGAGGAAAATGGCCTCCATTTCCCATTTTAAAGCCCACAATAAATACTTCTGTTGCTCATTTTACCATGTATTTAAGATTATTCTATAAAATACATAGTGGAAGATATAAAAATCATCTCAAGCTGATGCTGCAGCCCCATCTCATCTCTTGCCTTAAACACAATTATTTAGTTAAATATAAATGGTTTTCCCAAATTCCACAGCAATCACTTTGATTTTCAACTCCAGGGTTGAAACTGGGATTCCTCAGACCAGGTATTTATGGACCAAAGCATGGGAAGGAAATGGAAATGAAAATGGAAACGGAAGTGGAAATGGAAATGGAAGTGAAAATGGAAATGGAAGTGGAAATGGAAATGGACATGGAAATGGCTGCTGGAAATGGAAATGGAAGTGAAAATGGAAATAGACATGGAAATGGCTGCTGGAAATGGAAGTGGACATGGAAATGGCTGCTGGAAATGGAAATGGAAGTGGAAGTGGAAATGAAAATGGAAATAGAAATGGAAATGGAAATAGAAATGGAAATGAAAATGGAAATGGAAATGAAAATAACTGCTGGAAATGGCTACTGGAAATGCACATGGACATGGAAATGGAAATGGAAGTGGAAATGGAAATGGAAGTGGAAATGGAAATAGAAATGGAAATGAAAATGGAAATGGAAATGGAAGTGGAAATGGCCATGAAAATGGCTGCTGGAAATGGAAGTGGAAATGGAAATGGACATGGAAATAGATGCTGGAGATGGACATGGACATGGAAATGGCTGCTGGAAATGGAAATGGAAGTGGAAATGGAAATGAAAATGGAAATGGAAGTGAAAATGGAAATGGACATGGAAATAACTGCTGGAAATGGCTACTGGAAATGCACATGGACATGGAAATGGCTGCTGGAAATGGAAATGGAAATAGAAGTGGAAGTGGAAATGGAAATGGAAGTGGAAGTGGAAATGGAAATGGACATGGAAATGGAAGTGGAAGTGGAAATGGAAATGGACATGGAAATGGAAGTGGAAGTAGCCATGGAAATGGCTGCTGGAGATGGACATGGACATGGCATTGGCTGCTAGAAATGGACACAGTCATGGAAATGGCTGCTGGAAATGGACATGGAAATGGGGAAATGGCTGCTTGAGATGGATCAATGGCCTTGGGAAAGCCCAGCCAAGCATTTCCCAGTCCAGGTGAGGTTCTTGCTGGACTGACCATCATAAAACCAGGCTGGGAAGGGACAGCCTCGACCCACAGCTAGAAACTCACTCCAAAATAACCTTGGAGGAAGAAGAGAGGGAGTGTTTGCTGGCAGGGCTGGTACAGCCATCTCATTTACATCCATCTCTTCAGACACCAGGGACCCAGGGACAGCTCAGCCCTGCTCCCAACTCCCAACCCCTCCAAAACTCACCTTTTTTCCAGGACTGGAAGATCAGGCATTCTTTTTCCACAATGGATGCTAGAAAAACCCACTTCCAGGTGCCACAAAATTCTACACTTGGTCAAGAGCTACGAGATTCTTTCTGATCCAGCAGGAGAAGGAGCCCAGGGAACATTTGCTGCTCCTGGAGCTGGGATCAGTTCACTACTAACCCACTTAGTGAGACAAATGAATGACTCACCTCTGCCAGATGCCAAAGGTCTTTTTACATTCTGAGGCCTAGGAGGAGGGAAAAAAAATAATTTAAATAAGAGATGTAAATAAGTTACTGTCTCTTGTGTGCACAAACAGAGCAGAGCAGAGGTAGCTACTTCAAACAGCCTGAGGGGATCTAAAATCCTCTTCCATGCTTTAACTTTGCTCAGGAAGGGAAAGGACAGAGGGAAATGTGGATTTCTGTGGGGGGTTGGTGTTGCTTTCTCCTTTTTTTTTTAGAAAAAACAGAAAGGAAAAGTAAATTCTCTTCTTTTGGGGCAGCCACATGACTTGTCCCTGGTGTAACCCACCAGGAGGATGAGGATTCATTCCTGCCCCTCAATCAGCACCCTCAGGTTTGTGGAACTGGAGCCCAAAGCACCTACTTGAAGCAATTTTCCTCATAAATGCTGTTCCAGATTTTCCAGGCATCGGGGCCCTTGTAGCCAGTGTAACGCTCTGGGTTCAGGAGCAGATCCACGTACTCAGCATCAGGAGAGTGGATGTCTGTGGAGCACAGCTGCCTCAGGGACAACGATTTTCTCAGGGAAAACGACATTTCCCAAGGCTGACCCAGCCAACCCTGCCCCACCTTGCTGAACACAGCAAGGCCCAGAGCAGCAAGGAAGCTTTGTCAGAAATATTTGTGTGTTATTTTCAAAAACACTCAGGTCAGGGGGGTGGGAAGGAGCAGAAATGCTGTTGTGATGATATCTGACACTGGAATTGGGGCTGTTCAGCCTGGAGAACAGGAGGGTGTGTAGAGCCCTCACAGCAACATTCCAGGATCTGAAGAGGCTACAGGGAGTGGGAGAGGAGCTCTCACTCAGGATCTGTAGGGACAGGACACAGGGAATGGCTCCCACTGCCAGAGGGCAGGGATGGGTGGGATNGCCATGGCAGGGTGGCACTGGCTGATCTTTAACGTCCCTTCCATCCCAAACCATTCCGTGACTCTGGGATTGGTGCAGCAGTCCCCCTGCTGGCCTCAGAGAGCCCTCTGGCACAAAAACATCTGCTCTGCATCTGCTGGATCCTTCTTGCATCATCCTGAACAACTCAACAGCCTTTGTGCAAGCCCTGAAGGAAATAAAACCAACAAAGAAAGCAGCAGTACAAATTCAGCTGTGGTTTCCTGACACATCCATTACTGGCAGATTACAAAGTTGCTCAACACAGAAGTAATTTTGCTTCTCCCACACCCCCAGTGAGTCCTTGGGGAAATCAGAGAATCCTGGAATCATCCAGGATGGAAAAGATCACTGAGTTCAACCATTCCCCAGCACTGCCCATGTCCCAGGTGCCACATCCAGGGAGATTTTCAATCCCTCCAGGGATGGGGGACTCCAGCACTGCCCTGGGCAGCTGTGCCAGGGCTGGACAAACCTTTCCAGGAAGGAAATTTCCCCAATATCCAATTTAAAGCTCCTCTGCTACAACTTGAGGCTGTTCTCCCTCCTCCTGTCCCTGTCCCCTCCTTGTGCAGAGCCACAAGGGCCCCCTGAGCCTCCTCTGCTCCAGGCTGAGCCCCTGCCCAGCTCCCTCAGCTGCTCCTCACAACCCAGCAAGAGCTACACAACAACTAAAATAAAATTCTATTTACCAGCATGGAAATGGAGCAGAGAGGAGGATGCAGAAATGGAGCACAGAGTCACATGAAATGGGGAGGTGGGGGAAAAAATAGCCAGAATTCCCCACCCCACTGGAATGACTGTGTTTTGTTGAGGCACCATGGTCTGGAGGCTCACTCATATTTTCAGTGTTTACACTGCAGCTCAGTGTGTCACCCTCACACATTTACTGAATTCTGTCCTGCATTTTGCACACTAATGAAGATTAGCAGTGATTTAAGATTTCCCCTAACCTGAATCACCCTTGTAAAAACAAACAGCAGCAATTTGCTAATCCAGTTACCCAATTTAAAGCCGTTGCAAATTTATATAGACATTAAAAAAAAACTCATGAAAACAACAAACCACAGGCATTAACCAACCACATCTTTATTTCCTGAAATCTTTACATCCTTCAAGGCAGGAAGCTTAAAGGTAGAGTCTAAAAGTGACCTAAAATAAGATTTGGGGATAATCTTCAGCTGCTCCCTGTATCCAAAGGAATGACATCCCTGTAAAAGTGGGAGCACTGCAGCTCCCACCAACCCCCTCTGGCAGCACCATTTGGGCCAGGTCTGGTTTTGTTATGTCTGGTGACCAATTCCAGCCAGAACCAAGCTCATCCTGAATAAAATCCAGAGATGCAAAACCAACATCACTTTTTTTCTTGTCAAGCCAAAAGAGATGACAGCAGCTCACGTGGACTTAATTTTATTTGGTTTGCATACCCTGCAGGCAATTAAATAATTCAGTTTGCAGGCTGAACACTGCATGGAACTACACACAAGAAAGATTCTTGACTGAAATTACACGAAAGTTATACACTGAAAGATCTGAGCTTGGGGCTTCAGCTGCAATCTTGTAATCTAACTTTGTCTTCTAGTAGTAGGAAAAGATGCCAGAAAACAGGAAAACAGTGCAAGAGGAGCTGGAAATAAATGAATTCATGGATAATATAACTGTACTACTTTTTCCACCAGTTGTCTGTGCTCTACCCCACCAGGGAAGCACTGCAAGATGATCCCAAATCCTTAGGACTGGATGGGGGTTGTGTTTGGAGCTCTCCAAATCCCAGTTTATTGGTGGGATCAGCCTCAGGGTCACCCTGAACACACCCGTGGGGGCAAGGGGCAAAGG